ACCTACAGATCAATGGAAATGTTGATATCATGGATCCATCCAATATGTCAAACTATAGTGATAACAAATTTTCATTGTCAAGATTTTGGATGGCCACCTCATAGCCATTTTGTTTCTTGAATCAGTGAAAAAATAGGAACAAAGGGAATGTAGATATGAAATTTGAGAATTATCCATCCAGTACTTCTCTAGAAACAGCAATAGCAATCTATTACTGTCGAAGTCCAAAATGGCTGCCTTTGGCCTTCTAAAATGACCGATCCAGTATTTCTCAAAAAATAATAATAACACCCATTTTAAGGGACAGCTGGATGGATCATGGACCATGTGCTATATTGGAAAAAATGCAATTTGAACAGCCCACAATTTGAACAGCCCACTATCTGAAGGGTGTAGACTAATAAACTATGAAGTAGTTGCAGATGCCAAGAATACACTCCCTTTTTTGTATTATGGAAAAAATAACTTCAAAAATAACTAAAGATATAAATTTATATCAATTAATTATAATTCAATCACAGATTGCAATATTTTTGACATTAATAATAGAGAGAGTAACTCCTCTTTGATAATGTGACATTGCAAAATCATGGCAATTGTTTATGTTATGGAAGGAAAACATAAAAAAATGGACAATGCTTATTCGTGTTCCAGAGAGGATTCAATTCTTCATAAATGCAAATCTCTTGAAGTTTTCTGTACAATAAGTTGGCTGATTTAGCTTGTGATTTCACACATCTCTCCACCTGATATGCTATATATTGCCAGTTGGTAAGCAGTAATTGTTTCTCATTATTTCTCCTAATGGTGCCTATTTGTTCACACTTGATCCAGTAAATCTAATGAAAGCCTTGTTGGCACATATATAGTCAGTCATCAGTGTAGCAAATCGGCAGTGAAGACTAGTCCTGGATCCTTGTCACACTTGCAGTGCAGGAGGATAACAAGTCTTTAACATTAAAATTCGTGACCTAGGCCTTCCATCACACTTAAGGTCTTAAGACCAATACTCAGGTATGAGCTAGCTAGCTCATACATCATCCTTTCGAATTAAACTACGTCTGCTATCACAGTGCCAATGTGAACTCAATTATCTAACTTCTTAAAGGGTTTTGGCCACAATTTCCGTTTTGGTTAAATTCTGTTACATCATAATCTAAAAATCACTACCATTCAAATCACGATTCTCAATATATCCCAATACCTGTTTTTCGGCAGTCGAAAGTACTTGTCACACAGGATTGAGAAATTTAATAAGATGAACAGAGCTGTAGTACATGCGACATCAAAGTTTTACTTTGACTGACCATGGCTGACCTGTAAACAGTAGTGTAGAAGGCAAGCACTTGTCTTCTAATCCTGTTTTTAGCAGCACTCTTGATTGAAAGTGAAATATTCAACTGAACACTATATATCTATAGACAAAACTTGAACAGACAAAACTGCTTAAATAAGACTATATTAATGGATAATGGAAAATCCACATCAAAGTATGGTGAGTTACATATGTACGTACATCATGATAAGAACAGCTGTTACTGTTATGAAATAATTTTCTGATAACATATAACATGGAATATGATTATACAGGTGTTCAAGATTTTTCTTGATTTCAGCTCCTCAGAAACAATCATAACATAAAAAAGAGAATTCTGCAGATATCCAGAATAATTAACAGAATATATGAATTCCAGTGACAATTCAGCAGTAAAAACATATAAACAAAAGGACATGAAGACGTGTTGAGATTCCGATACTTTTTCAATACAAATGTCTTTATCAAGTAGGTACTTTGGCTGGCCAAATGTGGTAATGTTACGATAGTATCTGCATATACAAGTACAAATATTCACATGTACATAAATACATATCTTACAATAATGAAATTATCTGCTAGACAGGGTGAAATGACTGATTTACATGTATAGATGCACATAGTATGGGTGGTGTGCACAAGAAGGGTAAACTGTTGTACACATCAAAACAGTGGTCCCAGAACATGTTTGTTTTGCTTACGTTGTGATAACAAAAGGTTCATAAATAAACAAACATCCAATTAACACTTGTAGTTAATTACATACAAGAAGGCTTAACAGTCTCGGATGTTATAACCTTCATTCAGTTTCACTGTCATCTGTCTGGAAGGGTTTATCTGGACAGAGATTCGGACAGAGATTTCATCTGGACAGAGATTTGGACAGAGATTTCATCTGGACAGAGATTTGGACAGAGATTTCATCTGGACAGAGATTTGGACAGAGATTTGGACAGAGATTTCATCTGGACAGAGATTTGGACAGAGATTTGGACAGAGATTTCATCTGGACAGAGATTTGGACAGAGATTTGGACAGAGATTTCATCTGGACAGAGATTCGGACAGAGATTTGGACAGAGATTTCATTTGGACAGAGATTTGGACAGAGATTTCATCTGGACAGAGATTTGGACAGAGATTTCATCTGGACAGAGATATCTCTGGTTATCCCTTTCCCCACTACTTCAATTATCATGCAAAAATATCCGTGTGAACATTACTTAGAACATATATTGAAATATAACAAAAGTTGGCTGTTTATGATTTCTGATGTTGTTTATGTGTTATCAGTTTGATTCCAAGGTGTTGTTAATTCCAAGGTGTTGTTAATAAGTGTACATCTGCATGCTGTATACCACGACACAATAATGTACGTTATGTAACAATCATTCATGGCATTTTTATGACATTTGTGTCCAGTTGCTGCATCTCTTTCAAAATAAATTGTAAAAGAAAAGAAAAAGACACTTTATTTTTTGTCATCATATATCATTATGTAATCATTACACAATATATGAAGTTAAGTTCACTTTAAATATAAATTTGAATGTTTGTAAATGAATATAGGTATGACCTGTGTAGTAGTGTCATAGTAGATAAATAGAATATTGATGTCATGTATCACAACCTTACAATTGTAATATGCATATTCACCAGACTAAGGTAAAGGGAATGGGGCCAACTTTCGCTATTGCCTGTGTGCCATTTTAGGCTGAAATATGGTATTATGAAAAATTGATGACAAAACACTGTAGTAAACCAGCTAGGTAAACTATCACACTACAGTGAGAACTAGGTCATCATAACACTCCACTTCTGCATTTGATCAACACACTTTTTAAGGTAACAACAGGTTCCCATAAATTAAAAAAAAAAACAAAAAAACTTGAGTACATGTTGCACAGAACATTGAAAAGTGAAGACAGACGAGACTTTAAGTCACAGACATAGAAAGCAGACATTGTTAAGAAAACATATTCATTAATTTAAAGTAAAATTTTCTGAAAACACATCAGTAAGGGATCAGAAAAATGTATGTGTAAAAAATACCTTGCTAATTAAAACAGACATATAACAGTTACATACATTGTACAACAAGTTCCTTTCATATTAAATATATGCATGCATTTTGTTATTATAGACATGTAGACATGTTTCTATGGAGATACGTAGTCTTGTTACTAAGGATATATACAGACATATTACTACAGAAACATGTAGACATGGTAATATATACATTTGTAGATAAATTATCATTGAGACATATAGAAATATTTTGAAGTTGACATGCAGATATGTTAATATGGAGACATATAGATGTGTTACTGTGGATATAGGTAGACATGTTGCTATGGAAACATAAAGACATGTGTCTATGAATATATTTAGACAATAGTATGGATACCTGTAGTCATGTCATTTAGAAGACAAACAGAAATGATGTTATTATGTGGAGATGTAGACATGTTACTGTAGAGAGATAAACAAAAAATTGTTCCTATGGAGACATATAGATATGTTACTATGGAGACGTGTAGATTGGAGACATGTAGATATAATACTACACAGCAATGTAGACATGCTATTACAGAGATATTTAGACATGTTTCTATGGATCAAGGAGATATGTCACTAAAGTAACTGAGAGAAAGACATGTTACTATCAATATTCATAATTAGAAATGTCACTCTTGCAATACAGACATGTCAGTATGGAGAGACAGACCTATTTCTGTATTACTATATTCTTAAGATATGATACAATGGCATTATAGACAATTGTAAACTTTACTATGGATTAAGAAATGTTGTCATAGAGATATGGAGATGCAGACATGCTACTTAAAAGACAGAGACATGTAGACATATTACCAGTAATAAGGAGATATGAAGATATGCTTTTATTGAAATATGAATCAACATGTTATAATGGAGATATGTAAACATGTTACTATGGAGATGCAAATGTAAACATGGTGATATAGAGACATGTAGACATGTTATCATGGAGATATTAGACATGTGACTATGGAGTTATGTAAAGATATATTACAATGGAAATGTAGACATGTTCCTTTATTGAGATATAGACAACTTACTCTTTGTAGATGTACTCTTTGGAGATGTAGACATGTTACTATGGAGATGTAGACATGTTATTGTGGAGATGTGGTCATGTTACTAAGGATATATAGACATGTTACTATGGAGATGTAGACAAGTGACTACGGATATATAGACATGTTACTATGGAGATGTAGACATGTTACTATGGAGATGTAGACAAGTAACTACGAATATATAGACATGTTACTATGGAGATGCAGGCATGTTACCATAGAGATGTAGAAATGTTATTATGGAAATGTAGACATGTTACTATGGAGATATTGACTGTAATGTATGTTTGTACTATACAATCAGAGACACATTTGTTATTGCTTGGTAGGATATGATAACAAGGAATAAAAGTATTTTTCACAATTAGGATCAGTTTACTGCTGAGTTTCACACATGATACTTATCACGATAAAGTAAAAATATATCACTCTAGAGAGTTATTGATGATACAAGTACTAAACATGTCTTTGTATGGTGCAAAACATGCCCATTAATTGTGCTTAAGCATGCCCTTGGAGATGGTATGACATGCATGTGATTGGTTAAAGTCATGCCTGTGGTACCTTGTGGTCTGTCTACTGCTCCATCCATATTCCCCTTCTTTACATAAAACCCCAGTGGCTCTACCCCGTGCAATCTCTTCCCCGGGGAACCTTTCTCTGAAACAAACGGGTTTCTTGGTTAAATCCTGAATTTCATAGGAAAAAACAATGAAACCAATAAACACTTTTAAAAATTGTTTTATATAGTGCAAAAGAACTAACAAATTTGTTTCCTTTAAATCAGCCATCGTTATAATGACATTAGGAGGTGAAAGCACTAACTGTTCTGTCTTGGAGGATTATGTAACTCAACAATGGTTCTGGTACCCCAGTTGTGACTGTGTTGGAATATAGCCCTTGTGAAAGGTCAAAACTAAGGGGTTAATTTCAATTCTAACATTCTGAAAGAACCTGCTATTACTTTCATCTCTGACCCAAACCTGTAAAATATTATTGTAGTGGGTCTAAGATTTATCATGGGCTTCATTATGAGTGATATAATCTGATTTTTAAACCAAGATGCTATTAGTAGGCATTTTCTATTTTGAGGTAGGCCTTTATGCATGCAGACTTATACTAGCTAACACATCTCAAACATCAACTGATTATTGTCAAAAATTATTTTTACAATACGATCAATAATAACTTTTAATGAAAATGTTGTATTGCTCTATAACACACTGTGTTAACCATTGAACATTTATTACTTAACATTATAAAAAGAACACTTTCATGCCCCATCAACCACATATCCATTCCTTTATTTCATTTCCCGTCTCGAAACAGCAAGAGTATAATGATATCTGAACTGTGTATTTCATGTGCAGTCAGTTGGATGTTCTTGCTGACAGGTTGCTTCTCCTTGTCGAAAAGAAATGTGACAGCTAGGGTAGGAAATCGGTCTGATCTCCCTACCAGGTTAAACAGGACTATCAATAAGACATCTTCACACATATATACCTTCACATTGAAGGTTTAACCTCTATCAGATCTTTGAATTGATTTACAAATCATTTATAATGCTTGAAAGTTTTTAGTAGCCTCTGCATCTAAACAGAACAGAGGAATAATTGTTGAGATCTCCCATCTAGGGAGGCGTAACGTTTTGACAATCTGAAAGGCTTTGGAATTTTTGGAACAACAAAAATAAAAATAAGAATTTCACTACCACACTGGTTAGACCAAGAGATTGATCAAGCACAACTATAACTATAAACACACAATATTTAACGCACACATGAAGTTTCCCAAATCTGTTCTTTTAATATCATTCTGAGATAATGTATGACTTCCAGCAGGTATCAGAAAGACAGACTGAACAGCTTGTACATCCTCTATAAGTTGTAAATTCTAATCATGCACACAATCAGAATATTGGATGGGAGCTAATAAATGTCTGACGGATGTTAGGTTTGCAACTTTATTTCAGGAACTAAAAATATCATACACATTACTGTAATGATTGAGTGTCATAGATTAGAAAACTAGACAGTAATATGAACTAATATTCTCTAGTCTTGTGGACATATGGAATCCAGACATGTAATATGTGGCTATGTTTCTGTGATGGAATCCAGACAGGTAATATGTGGCTATATTCCTGTGATGGAATTCAGACAGGTAATATGTGGCTATATTCCTGTGATGGAATACAGACAGGTAATATGTGGCTATGTTTCTGTGATGGAATCCAGACAGGAAATAAGAAGCTATATTCCTGTGAAGGAATCTAGACAGGTAATATGTGGCTTATTCCTGTGGTTGAATTCAGACAGGTAATATATGGCTATATTCCTGTGATGGAATCCAGACAGGTAATATGTGGCACTATTCCTGTGATGGAATCCAGACAGGTAATATGTGGCTATATTCCTGTGATGGAATCCACACAGGTAATATGAAGCTGTATTCCTGTGATGGAATCCAGACAGGTAATATGTGGCTATATCCCTGTGATGGAATCCAGACAGGTAATATGAAGCTGTATTCCTGTGATGGAATCCAGACAGGTAATATGTGGCTATATTCCTGTGATGGAATCCAGACAGGTAATATGTGGCTATATTCCTGTGATGGAATACAGACAGGTAATATGTGGCTATGTTTCTGTGATGGAATCCAGACAGGAAATAAGAAGCTATATTCCTGTGATGGAACTTATGAGCCTATATTCTGGTAGACATATGGAATCCATACTTGCAATATGAGTTTATTTCTGTGGATAATATAAAGTCATATTCCCTGTGGAAATCTAAAACCAAGACAGGTAATATGAGGTAATATTCTCGCAAAGTAAGATACATCATCTTTATGATCCTTGTATACCAAAGTATGATCCAAACCGCCAACAAAGTCACAGAAATCTTCTATCCCTGTGTATATCACAGGTAATAGTTCAATCTAAACTGCCTACTAAATCACAGAACTCCTCTTTAGTACCTCTATGTTCACAAGGTACAATCCAAACTGCCTTCAAAATGTCATTGAACTCATCTTCAATATCTGTTTTTTAAAATACAATCCAAACTGCCTTGACAAAGTTGTAAAAATATCTACATTATCCTGAGTGTACCGAGGTGTTCAAATGTTACTGCTTGAATAAGGATAATGAAATCTCCAACAGTATCTCTGTGTATACCAAAGTTATAGTGCAAAGAAATTCTATGTAGATGTATACGTGGTATATCAAATCTTTGTGTTAAGTAAGTGTTAAGTTATGGATTATTCAGTAACAACTTTAAACACATCCAATTTTACTCAAAGGAACAATTTTAAAGAAATTTACCCAATAATTCCATACACATCTGACTCTAATCAAGGGGAGTCACAGAATATGTTGGGTTTTCATGCATTGAAATGATAACATAAATTTTTGAAAGACGCCAAACAATCTTAACATCATAGAACAAGATCGAACCTGATTATACCAAAGAGTCGTAAGAAAACGTCATTACTTAACACTAAATTTTATTGATTCAGAATAAACTTGTTTGTAGAAAATGATCTCCACACTAGGACAGAACTGACCAACTCAACATTGGCATGTACAACTAAACATTGGCCTATCCAGCTAACTTTGGCCTGTACAACTAAACATTGGCCTGGCAACTAAACATTGGCCTGTACAACTACATATTGGCCTATCCAACTACGCATTGGCCTATCCAACTACACATTGGCCTGTCCAACTACACAGGCCTAACCAACTAAACATTGGCTTGTACAACTAAACATTGGCCTATACAACTGCACATTGGCCTATCCAACTAAACATTGACCTATTCAACTAAACATTGACCAATCCAACTACACATTGGCCTATCCAACTAAACATTGACCTATCCAACTACACATTGACCTGACCAACTACACATTGGCCTATACAACTAAACATTGGCCTGACCAACTAAACATTGGCCTATCCAACTAAACATTGGCCGGACCAACTACACATTGGCCTATACAACTAAACATTGGCCTGACCAACTAAACATTGGCCTGTACAACTTAATATTGGCCTATACAACTACACATTGGCCTGTACAACTTAACATTGGCCTATCCAACTAAACATTGACCAATCCAACTAAACATTGGCCTGACCAACTACACATTGGCCTATCCAACTAAACATTGACTTATCCAACTACACATTGACCTGACCAACTACACATTGGCCTATACAACTAAACATTGGCCTGACCAACTAAACATTGGCCTATCCAACTAAACATTGGCCGGACCAACTACACATTGGCCTATACAACTAAACATTGGCCTGACCAACTAAACATTGGCCTGTACAACTTAATATTGGCCTATACAACTACACATTGGCCTGTACAACTTAACATTGGCCTATCCAACTAAACATTGACCTATCCAACTAAACATTGGCCTGACCAACTACACATTGGCCTGTACAACTTAATATTGGCCTATAGAACTACACATTGGCCTGTACAACTTAACATTGGCCTATCCAACTAAACATTGTTTTATACAACTAAACATTGGCCTATCCAACTACATAGTAGCTTAATTTGTAATGATGATGTTCACGAACCACTAAGCTACATGTACAAGGCGAATGTAATCTTGGCATCATTTACAAATCTCTAAAAGTCATTACACTAATCAAATTATTCTCCCATGATAAAATGCCATGATGGAAAACCAACAGAATCAGAGACAGAAATACTTTTATTTGCGTATTTTGTGTAAAAAGACCTGGGATAGAATCACATCTGAAAGCATAAAAAGCATGTTTTCGTGACTAGGAGGTAACTCCAACAGATACCAATATCGAAGTTGTCAACAGTTAGATTAGAATCCTTATCAAAGGCTGAAGTGGCTCCAGTGTCTACTGAGCGTGGGGATTAATTCTAAAGAAGGAAATCTTTGCAGAACCTTGAACTTATTTTGTAAAATTTCTATTTCATTTCAGTAATAATTACCATAACTTTAGTATGCAAATACAGTACCTACACCCATCTTTGTATTCCAACAACAAAAGATTCAAAAGAAAAACAATCCCGCCCTCCCTACGATCCATGAGCCATCACGGCAGGAACGCAGAGTGATCTCCCTTCCTCTTACCTTTATGGCTGCCGACGAGTGCGGAGGTGTCTGAGCTAAGTGCTTTTCTTACTCCTTCTCTTCGTACTGCCATTGTCGTTTGAGTATATTGTTACTCTATTAGTAGTCTATAAACCCATCTCCCAACTTATATTGTGAAATTAAGTATTGTCATTTGTTTATTTTGACCGTATTTCCGGCCGTTTTTTTCCTCCACGTATTCGAGTGCGTGACTACTTGTCTCGTTGCTCGGATTTGCGTGAAGTTGGAATTTGTTTTCTTGCTGCTTTGTCGGCCGTGTTGTACGGCCGTTTTATTTATGCAGTGCAATCTTGCTGCGTACGGTAGGCTTTGTGCTCTCGTTCGTAGTTTTTTGATTGTTCGAGAACTTCGTTTCCGGCCGTGTTTTTACTCCGCGTGTTCGAGTGAGTGACTACTTGTCTCGTCACTCGGATTTTCGTGAAGTTGAAATTGTTTTCTTGCTGCTTTGTCGGCCGTTTTGTACGACCGTTTTCTTTTTTTGCAGTACAATCTTGCTG